CATAATGTCAAACATATATGTCCACTCAAACATTTAATTGAAACCATTACTTTTTTAAAGAATGCAATTACTATTTGCTTAGTTCATCACGATTACTACTTAACAGTTACATATGTGCGAGACCTATCATGAAATAAGATATTGCTGAGGCAAGTCATTAAAATCTCTACCTAAATCAGCATATAAAACTAGAACTTGAGTGAAGTTACCTTTCCATTCATTGCTGAACAACAATCATCGGCATCCGCAGGGTTTTCATATGTGATAAAGGCAAAACCTCTGGGCTTCTGTGTTTCTCGGTTGCGAATCAAAAGAACTGATATGAAAACACAAGATTATTAGAAAACTGTCAACATCATCATGAATTGAGTACACATTTGGTTACTGATACATGACAGAATAATTTGGTGGATGCTGGTGGTACGGCAGCCATCTTTCGTTGAAGCCCCTTTTGGCGTTTGCTTAAGGGCTGAGGCAATTATTTGCGATCTTCTGATGTAAAGTTTACAATGTTCATTTTTCATGCCTAATCCGTGTTTTCTAGCTCATCAAAACTCTCAAATCGTGAATTTATTTCCCAATGCATTATTTCGAAATCTGAATTGACCGCCGCCATCTTTGTCTCGTCTGTGTGAAAGCGAATGGACTGCCGTATCTCCAGTTTCCGTGTACCTCCAGTCCAGCCTCGGAAACTGGAGATACGGCTGCCGTACCTCCAGCCACTGCCAATAATTTTAGAGGAAGAACACAGTAATAATGAGTAGCCGCAACAGTCAATACTGTGAAACTAACATTTATAATTATATGATTTAAATTAAAAACAGAAAAATTAACTCTACACTAGAAGTAGAACACTTCATCTAAAACTACAAACCTTCCGACATCTTTCCAAACTTTCCAAAAGCATCCTCAAGGGTTTTTTCATCGCAATCCTCAGGTAACCCTCTGATGTACAGTTTTCCTGGCTTATCCTTTTCGATAGTCATGTTTACTGGTTGAGTTATCTAACCTGTGTAATCAGATACATGAAACAGGTACTTTATTTGATGCAAAACTGAAAGACACTAGCGGGTTTCAAGCATTTATTCTCAATGAGCAATAAAAATGCTACCGTATAAAAGCGTACGTACTCTATAAATAACCATCAAATTAAAACAAATAAGCGACCCGGTTTATCACAGAATGATCACAAACGTGAGCACCTTTTTAAAATCCGCTATCATCGTGTACTGCAAGCAGCGTAAAACGGCTTTTATAGACTAATCTAAAAGGCAACAGCACATATGTTATAAAATGTATACATGAATTTTTGCAATGATTTAAAACAAAGCTTTCTCACACGTTTTTGTAACACTTACCTTCGCTGTTTTACACTCGCACACAACACGGACAAAGAGAACAGCCAGAGAAAAGATGGCCGCAGTCGAGAAATAAACAATTTTCCACTTTCAGAATATATACAATTTGTATAAGATGTTTTATAAGTTATAAAATAAAATATAACTTTATTCATCTAGTATCCACAAATAAATCGCATTTTTAACCGAATGTGAGTAGGAATAAACTTTTGATGAAAATAGAGGTATCATCATCGTTACGCGCCACAGATCCGCGCCTAATCCGCGCGCAGCGCTTAGGATCAACAGCAAAGCTGTGCCACGCAATCTTGTATCATGTCTCTCTGGACATTTCATTCAGTTAGCGAGCGCTCAGTCTTCTACAGACTACAGAGAATACACTAGACAAACCAGTATATTATTCTATGGTTTAATACATGCACACTGATAATTAATAAAAAATTAACATTTTGTCCAATAATTACATGTTACAAAATACTAACACAATTTATTACCTGTACACATATATATATGCACACGCATGCAAATACATAAATATATTTTGTTGTATTTCATTTACACTTGATAATTTTAAAGCATAAGCTCGTAAGCCAATCTTAAATTCAATGCCCATGTCCCATGGTGTCACATTTGCACGGTTAAAAATAAAAGAGTTGAAATATTCCTAATGTAGCAATTTATGTATTATTTTTCAATAGATGACAAGATACGTAAGTTACAACTACGGCATTAAAATTTACAACATTCAAAACATGAAAAAGAAGCATACTGTAACTCTGTAAATTCTCAGCATATTTTGTTCTTAGATCAATTTCCATGCATTTCTTGAAAAATCAGCAAATACCTTACACAGGTGTTTACATGCAATGCCAGTTGAAAATAATGTGAAAAATGTATTAATATTAACAGGGGTTAATAATCACAAATATAATTTGTCATTATAAACCCCTGACATTAATACGTAAGCTATTTTGATCAAAAATAAATTGTGAATTTTAAATAATTATAAAAAATATTAACAAAATAACAGGACTACTGCAGTGATGAAGATACGAACTTCCCTAGTTGTGTAACGTAAGTTTTACAAATGTTACATAAGTTAGTTAGAGACGCGGAGTGCGGCTAGACTCGGGGTTGTTTTAGTGGTAATCTATGTAGACAGAGCGTCGCGCATCTTGTGCGGCTAGATTGATGTGGCCTTCTTTATCTGCTCTTGATGTTATAGGGATAATGGTTAACGTGTTTTAGGTAGGGCGTTTCTAGGGTCATTGGGAAATGGGGGTAGGACGCGGTCTGGGAGAACGAGTGACATGTGCGCTCAGGATGTAGGGGTTTTGGGGGTAATAGGTTAGGAGAGATGAAGGGACAGAGATGTAGGGGTCGAGTCTGGTTGTGGTCGCGGGAGTAAGCACACGCGCATTTCTTTGTCTCTCTGTGCAAGATGTGACTACCCTGTGTGCCAGTTATTAAACTTTATTCAGTTGGATTCCTTCTTCATCATTTCTACATCGAACATTAATTCAACGTTACAGTTGGATACAAATACAAAGTAACATACGAGCACTTTTTTACAACAGAGGATCATCCAATTATACAGTTAAATATTGGGGTTCCACAGTCAGCATTATGCAAGCTGCTCGCTTGTGCTCTGCATTCACGGAGCAGCACACCGAGTAGTTGTCTGCTGTAAATCCATGCAAAGATTGCAAGAGTTTCGCTGGATCCATCACATCGAGCACAAACACGTACTTTTTTGATTGCTTGAATGCACTCGTCATATTGGAAATGACGAGCGTGCAGTACTTTTCATAATCGACAGACACTACCGATGAGACTATAGGTAAAATAAAGACGAATTCTGTCGATATTTCACGATGGAGATCTAGCGTAGTTATCGAGAGATCTCCTAACAAACCTTTAACCCCCGCACCCACTATATTCGCACTACATTTCTGAAGATCATGATAGAGTTTACAAGTGATCGAATTTTGCTCCCTGCCAACTGCAAAGCTCTGCAACTCTAGATCGAGTGGTTTCGCGGTTACATTACAATCGCCCTGGTTCAGCTTAGCTAATATCCAAGCCCTTAGCTTATTGAACTGGCACTTGCTATCTTCCGCATCTGCGTCAGCACCTCGATCAGACCAGGTGCGTAGTATTTCGCTGAACGTCTGAACGTCCCAGGAGTACATTTTCGAGGACTCGCCCAGCTTCTTTCTAATTTTCCCGCTAGTATCGTTCCTTGTGTCAATCAAGACACCGACACTAGACACACTGTCGAACGATTCGTCGCTGCGAATGAAAACCCTTTTCTGCTGAACGGCATCGTGAAAGTTCCACAGTATCTGATCGCATTGGGTTTTCCGGAAGCCAGAGCGCATGGTAGAGTCTAATCCTTCCTCCAGGGAGACGACATACTCGTATTTTCTCCGTTCTTCTTCCGTTATTTCGAACAGCATCTTGTAGAGTCTTCCTCCATCCCTATCTCTATAAGAATAGAATATTTATACTATTAAGTTGCATTTTCACTTTATATCGTGTCAAGTCTCAAGTGTCAAGTCGTAGTAATGATGGGAGATGTAATAAGTTGTCAAGTTATTGACGCAATATACTACATGCACACATTCATAAACAACTGCTCTGTTCACACAGTTAACTTTCCCCTGTCATATAAGGCTAGCGATATTTTATTAACTAACCATATTATACACATTATATTTAAGGAACAAACAACAAAAGTATGAAAATGGTCAGTCTGAGTCATCCTGGAAAGTTTGAGAACCGAAAATAAATTATACTCAATTGATTATTCACACGTTTTATTGATAAATGTAGACATTCATCTCACCGGATAGCTGTTGATAATTCTCTCACGTGGTAGAGAACAAGTGAGGCTGGAAATTCAATGCCGTCGACACATTCAGGCCAGAAGTAGACCGCTTTTCCCTCGCTCTCCGGCCACAATGCCACCGTGCTCTGTATCTCAGTCAGTGGGAATACCAGGAGACAACCCTCGGAATCTTCTCCCAGTGATTCTAAAAAGTCGGTACCCGCTGGTTACAATGATTATTATTTAAAATTAGACCCGTCCATGAAACCCACCAAAATTGCGTGAGTATAATGTTATATAACCACTATTAAAATGTTTGCGTCGACCCTATCCTTCTTATATAATAAAGAACGTGTTCCATGGTGACTATGCTATTGCACACGACAATGAAAGAAAAACAAACCCAAATCGCATGCGCACGATTACCAAGTGAAAAAGCGTACCACTGCTACATACCCAGCTGCACTAGATCTTCTGGCTCACTCTTAATGATTACTACGTCGTCAACGTCGTTTCGATCGCCGGCCAGCTCTTTCCCCTTACTCTCGCTAGACGCTTTAGCACTAGTGACAGGCACCAATGCTAACTCATTGCTTGCCACAGCAGCTTGCCCGCCTCGCAGCACGACCCCTGGCTGATTTTCCACCGTGAGAGGGCCGCACGGCGGGATGGGATTGCTCTGGCTCGGCCGAATGACCACCATCCGCGAGTCAGTAGGCATGTTGCTGTTGCCGTGGCAACGGCACCCGCTCCCGCAGCCGCAGTTGCAGCCGAACTGGTCCGCGGCGATCGTGTACCCGCCCTGCGCAGCGGAGGACGCAGGGAATCCCCCGTCGCCGAAGAACAATGACTCGCCGCGCATCTGCCCGTACGGCGTCGTCTGCTGCTGCTGCTGCGTCGCTGCGGTGACGGCGAACGGGGCGCGCGGCGTTGCCGCGACGACGCGGGTCGACGGCCCGGGCACGGGCTGCACCATCGCGATGTGGGACCGCAGCGGTGGCGCCCTCAGCCTCGCAGCCACGCCGGCGGATGGCGGAGGGCGGCAGCAGGGAGCCGTATAGCTCGGCTGCGGCGTCGCCGCGGCGACCGCGCCGGCGGCGAGCGTCTGCGACTGGCAGCAGCACTCAATGTGCTTCACGAAGTCGTGCTTGACGGGGAAGTACTGGCAGCAGCAGTTGCAGGTGTAGGTGTTGCCCTTGCGGCCGGCGTGCTGCTCCATGTAGTGTCGATTCACCTCGCTCAGCTTGACGAATTTAATCTGGCACAGCTTGCACTTGTACACCTGACGACAGAACATACGCGGGCTGGCAACGCGGCGAAGATGGCGTTCGGTCGTCGCCGACGGTTACGTAAATTTGTTACGATATGCGATCGTGCAACATGTCTAATCTAATGCATTAACCACAGTTATGACGCACCAAGTATTGGGTGAATTTATACTTAATATTTGATATTGGATTACAATAACGCTTACAACTGAAAGTTGCAGATTTAGTAAAGCACATAGGCGAGTCGTTGAGAATTAAATTCGAATGACTTCATTACGATATTTATGGATTGTAGACTTTGTAGTACAACTTGTTGCCTACAACTGCTAAAGTTACCTTAGATTTTTAATAATTGAAATTATATAGAATATATACACACCTTCCGTTGTCTGTTGTGTGTCAGCATATGAATTTTCAATGTGTACTCTCGACCAAAGCTCTTGCTACATACACTGCACTTATACGGTCGCTCGCCCGTATGTGTTCTTAAATGCCTCCTAAGGAACAAAATGCAAGCTGTTTATTTGAGTTGCAATGAGTCGATGGGATTTATTGCCAATAACTCAATAAGAGAAAAACACACTACAAATTAAACATCAGGAATAAAGTATTCTACAACTTTTCTGGGTAAATCAAACAATAAAATGTAATTGTAAAATGCATTTTTTGTGCAATAAAAATAACCAAGATTACATGTATGCCTATACGTGAATCTTACTATTTATGGAATGTTTTGCATGCATTGCAATACAGTAGGACAAAAGTTAATATAAATCAACCTTAAATCAGTCACAATAGCAAATCTTTTCTTGCAGTAGACACATTCGTTTTTAGCGCCATCTTCAGAATGAATTGTCATATGTAACCTTAGTGTGTTGTACTTCAGGAATTTCTGGAAAATGCAAAAGCAGTCAGAACAGAGCTGATGGTCATTTAATAATGCACAATTCACAAATTCAGAAATCTGCACTTCATTTTGGAACTCTACCTCCGTGTGTGGCATGCGATGTTGAACAATAATACCTTAAAATGGCACCTATTAATAGTAAGTAAATTAACTTAAATTAAATTAAAGTACTTTTAAGTGCTCTCAGATATGCTTGGTCTGTGACAGAACTGTGTCCACCAATTTTGGTATTTATGATCTACTGGAAATTACATATGTATGCTTTATTGCAGCACCTGTGAATGCCAGATCTTGTTTATTCACACAAAGCAAACTGTATTTACCCATGAGAAGCAAAGCCATGTAATATGTTTGCCATTTTGATACCAATAAAAAAATTACCAAAAATTAAAGTAGTACATTTCACATTGCTTATCATATAATCTTCAAATTGATCATTTTGCAGACTTTTTTTACGTGTAAAACTTGCCACTACGCGTAACGTAACGCATTCTGATATCTTACCATACGTGAGGCTATTACCTTATCACACATCGGGCACTTGAAAGGCTTGAACTCTTTGTTAACTTGAGTGTGTATCACAACGTGTTGCTCCAAGTCACGCAGAGTTATAAAGGTCTCGTTGCATAGGTGACAGGTCAAATCAACCAGCTCCGTTCCATTACCGGACGACTCATAGCCTCCCAAAGATAAATCATCTGTGAGTGTGACATCCATACTGTTGAATTCCTCGTCCATATGAAGCTTGAACCAATCACGGTGCTCTATGTGAAGCTTGAACCAATCACGGTGCTCCATTTCACCATAATGGCAGCCCCACGATTTGTTGTTGTAATAACAGACCAAGTAAACACTAAGACTTGTGAAGAAGTGAATGAATAGTGATATAATATATAATGATATCTGATAAATAATAGTAGATAAAATAGATTAGGATTAAACCACTGCAAGTGCAAGATAATTTCAATTTCTACCACCAGAGCTCTGTGGTTAGATTAGTGACTGTGGACACTGTGACAGTGTTAGTCCGTACCACTACTACTACTAGTAGTAGTACCAGTGCCAGTGTAGTGGCGAAACTAGCCCGACCAGGCTGTGCGACGGATTGTCTATACAGCCTGACACCCTTCCATACAAAAAACCTATCACCTCTGCAGATCTAGATGAATAACTCCGTATATATCTCAAATAAAACTATTCTATTACACCTTTGACTTGCCTTGTTTGAAATATGAACGTTAACTCACAGTTGTCCTGCTTCTAAACTAGAATGCATCTCTTAATTCATGGTATAATCTGCTAATTCTCACAGCATATCAACTTTTCAATCAGCTTTACCTGCCATGTTTACACTGCACATGAGTCAATGGAAAAGAGACACGGAAAATACTCGCTAGAAAATACTACAGAAATAGTACAATAGCTGCACGATGGCTCTCACGGCAATTACACACCAAAGCAAGTGAAACGATGTTCACAAATGTCTGGACACTTTGTAAAAACCTTAGATGACATGTTCTCGGATGTAGGGGTGGTTTACATGAGGACTGCAGATCGTTTAATTTCCCTTGTTCAATCCATTGCGGATTTTAGTCCCAGTCGGAATGATAGCAAACATGGTGACAAATTCATAAATTTGGTTGCATTCGTCTCAAAAAGTCGCTGTAACCCCGTAAGTACCCAGCGCATCGTAGCACACTGATGGTTACAAGAAGGTGGATGTATACTGATTCATTTGGTATATCACATGTGAAGTGTTCTTTGGCGATACTTGGCAAATATGACAACTATGTGTTTAGCTGCAGCCAATGTTTGAAACGGTCTTCTAACCCTAGCAAGACCGTTTCTTGGAGCTATGGCGAAACAATCTTTTCATCAACTGTTTATAAAATAAATGTAATGTTGCAATAAGTCTGACCGTACGTCGAGCGGTTAAGATTTGTGCCCATCTGTTGACGAACAGACGATCATGCGATTCTACAAGCTGCATCTGACTTCGTCAGATGAGCTAAAAAGTGAACAGAATTACTTATATTTTGTGAAAAAGTGGAAATATTTTTTAAATTTTTATTATTTACGGTGACGCAATCACTTTAAGACCGAATTCATAATTTGTACATATTCTAATTAGTCTGGTGAGCATCTTGTGGGGGCTGCCATTATGGTGAAATGGAGCACCGCAATTGGTCCAGCTTCACATAGAGCACCGTGATTGGTTCAAGCTTC